AATGTCTGCTCTGTCACTGCAGAATACACAGCAAATGCGTCTGTCTACCTAATCGTCCTCTCTTCAGCACACATTATAACGTATATTCATTGATCACTTGACTCGATTAACTTTCCGCTCTATATCACCTCAGGGTCAGGAGGTGCACATGTAGTTTACTTTATTAACGGTATCAAACGAACTCGACGTCGTGAGACGTCGCGACTACTATTCCATATGTGATATACATATATGCATATTACATTTGCGGTAGAAATAAAATTTCGTCCGAATATGTGAGAACAGGGAAAAATTATCTTAATTTGTTATGTTCTCTCCTGTGAGTTGAAAGAAAGGTTTTACTTTACGCGGAGAAAGAACTTTAATTAGTTAAGTTGGATATAATATTTACAAGAATTAGTAAGTTGAATATTTTAATTAAGAAAATAATACATTGAGAAAAATATTTGGATAAAAATGGACGAATCAGAAAATTCTGATTAATTCCAATCAAAATTCCGGTTATAACAATTAGAATTTTAGAATTTAATCAGAAAATTCTAATTCGTCCATTTTCAATCAAAATTCCAATTAATCGAATCAGACATTTTTCTCAGTGTAGAAACATTAATCTATAATATCCATAGTTGTTACTTTTTGTAATCGGTTCGATAGTTCATTGAAACTATAATATTTTAAAAAATTACACATAGTCGCAGGCTGCACTCCAGCAAACAGATTTAACATATACGTAAATATATATATCATTTTACATCTTTATGTAGCAATGATATATTTATGGTTTATGCTTATAGGACGGAAATAAAATAATTTGACGAAAGATATGCTGAATAAAAAGTATCTCTTTCTTGATTTCGTGATATAATTTATATAAAAAATATAAATATAAATAAGTTTTTTTAAACAAAAGTAAAGTATTATATGTGTGTGAATATATATATTACATATATAAAGAAAAATCATGAATTAAATTAACATATGCCTTTTACAAGTAAGACCTTTTTTCTGTAAAAAAATTTCTTTACAGAAAAAAAAAGAGGAAAAGAAACTTACTGTTCATTTTTAAGAAAAAAAACTATTGAAGAACAATTATTTAATAATTTTTTCTAAAATGTAGTAAGACCTTTCAATATTTTTGCATAGAAATTAATTTTATTTACATATAATATTATTGTAAATATATCATGACTACATCATTGAAACCATATAAAATTAATCGTATTATAACGTCTTCTGATGGCGACTGTTCGCGTAACTATTATTTCGAACAAAGCCTATTGACATTTCGTTTCCTCTCCGATGAGAATCGGTTTAAAATTAACAAAGTACGCGAGAACACCTACGATATCGCGTGGTGTGCTTCATTCACGGAGCTTGCTGACCTGGAAAAATTGGCCTATAAATTTTGCAGCGTGTATAAATGTACAAACAACCTTTGTAATGACAAAGGAAACCTTAACGTCCGATGGTTTAAAAAGTAGTACGTCAGAAGAGAAATATGTCAAGAAATATGTATTACTATGTAAAAAATGCATGATATTGAAACAATAAAATATTAATTTATTATTCACAATAGAAATAAAGTTTCATCAAAATTAATTTAGCATTTAAACAATTTACTTTAAGTTAATTATTGGTGAGAAATAGAATTATTGTTAATATTTTTATAAAAATTTAGATAATTCGCGCATATAAAAGAATATTTTTCAAAATGCGTTAAATATCCTGTATTAATTATCCTGTATTAATATTAGTGAAACTAATTCATTATGATACTTTTGAGGCGTGTATATGCTTTGAGAAAAATTCGAACTTTTTGTTAGAAATTCACAAGTTTATTTCCTATTTCTGCTCACGTTACATACAATATGTAATGATGTATATGTCGATAATCCATAGATTATTTGATTGCAATTATAGAACGCCACGCAATAATGAACGTAACTGCAACAAATCACGCAAGTATCCACCTTATGTAATATGGGATCCACGACAACCAGCAAAAAATCCTATCTATAATTGCCGGATAATTAAGTTGTACTGTCGCACCGGATATCATCTAGCAATTACGCCGTCGGGACGAGTGAAAGGATTATCCGGAAACAAGGAGCCATATGGTATATTTCCATCACACTTAATTGTTAAATACTGAGTCAAGTAAAATAAAAAACGTTTGCAATATATGTGTATATGTTACATATGTATTTACAATAATGATTTACATATATGATCACCATTAAGAAAGATTTTTATTACATACACAAAAGTTTATATACCCTTGCAGATCTGCTTTACGCAACACCGGTATCTTTTGGCGTTATCAGAATACAAAGCATCGAAACGAGGTTGTATTTGGCATTCAACAAGAAAGGACGATTGTACGGAGAGGTAAGATGCCAAAAGAAAATACGAAACTATAAAAATGAAGAAACGGACGAGTAATGAAAATTTTCATTATATTACGAAAGAAGCTCTTACAATGAAAGAAATGTAGAACAGTATAGCTCGTTGTACTATTCATATCCGTAAAATTATATATATATATATATATAGAGAGAGAGAGAGAGAGAGAGAGAGAGCACTCTATAAAATTCCACATGAAGTTCCACGTGAAATTCCTTTGCGACCTTTTCACAACGTTCTATAATATTCTTACAATAATTTCTCTAATTTAATTCTATATAAATAATATTTAATAAAATACTTCTAAATATATATCTTTAAATTGACTTAAATTCGTAATTAATAGTACACGCACGCACGTATAGTATATTATACTAGGTGCGCAACTAAGTTTCCGGATTTTTTTGATCAATGAAAAATGGAAAATTTCAAGAGAAATACAAAAAATGGTTTATTCAAAATATCGTCCCTTCATAGCTACACATTTTTGCCATCTCTCTGGCAATACATGAATACCGCGACAATAAAACGACACGTCTTTGGACCGAAACCATTCAACCAATTTTGCACTTCTTCGAAATTGGCCAAGTGTAGCCCAGCCAAGCCATGCGCCATCGACCGGAACAAGTGATAATAGGAAGGGGCCAGGTCTGGCGAATACGGCGGGTGCGGTAGCAGATCCAATTTCAGCGTTTTAATGGTGTCCTGGACGATGGAAGTGCGATGGCACGGAGCGTTGTCGTGCTGCAATATCACTCGTTCGTGTCTCATGTCCCATTCTGGCCGTTTTTCGAGAAATGCATGGTTCAAATTGATCAGTTGTTGTCGGTACCGATGCCCATTGACAGTTTCGCCCGTTTTCAGCAGCTCATAGTACACGATTCTTTTCTGGTCCCACCAAACGCAGAGCATTGTCTTCTTTCCGAAGCAATTTGGTCGTACCGTCGATGTTGATGCTTCGCCAGGTGAAAGCCACGATTTTTTGCGTTTGGGATTCTCGAAATATATCCACTTCTCATCGCCAGTAACAATTCGATGCAGAAAACTCTTTCTTTCGTGCCGCAAAAGCAAAATTTCGGAAGTGGCTTCGATTTTCAATCTGTCTTTCAGTCAACTCATGCGGCACCTATTTTCCTTCCTTTTGAATTTTTCCCATGGCATGTAAACGTTTGGAAATACCTTGGGGAGTCATGTTTAATGCCTCCGCAAGTTGATCTTGTGTTTGCGTATCATCTTCATCCAATAACATTTGCAGATCGGCGTCCTCAATTGTTTTTGGTCTTCTAGAGCGCTCCTTGTCTACAGTGTCGAAATCGCCACTTCTGAAGCGTTTAAACCAATCTTCACAGGTAGTTTTCGATGGTGCGTGTTCGCCGTAGGCCTCCTCAAGCAAACGACATGCTTCAGCTGCATTTTTTTTCAAGTTAAAGCAGAAAAGCAAAGCTTCCCGCAAATGCTGTTTATTTGGCACAAAACTCGACATTTCCGTTGTTAGAAAAAATATTTTTGCGTTGCGATATGTGTTGGTATTACGACTGGTTATTGTTAACAGATGTCCAAGCTATAAAAAAAACAACTTCAGACATGTATGTCGACTACATGTGTCGTTGCGCCATCCATGTGTGAAACCCGGAAACTTAGTTGCGCACCTAGTAGTTGTAAAATTATTAAAAAATGAATTTCATTTAAGCTAAAAATCAATTTTGTTACCGTATTAATTAATTAATTTTCTCTCTCAACAGGAAGTTCATTAATAATAACCTTAAAAAGATAGTCGAGATTGATTGTAAATTTAATTTGTTTAATTTTGATTTTAGATAAATATGACTAATGAAAACACTGAATGGGAACAATGGAGCATTGGTTCCCATGACGCGTTCAGATCGCGAAAATACGTGCAATATGGATGGTGGATAGGAATAAAGAAAAATGGACGAGCAAAGCCTGGGTCGAAAACATTTTGGGGACAAAAGGCTATACAATTTTCGGCTATCCAAGAGGATTAATTGATTAATCTGAAATTTTTTCAAGATACAAACACACTTTATAGGGTATACCTCTCATTTTCGATAATTCATTTGTTATGTAAACTTTCTCGGAAAGAAATTCAGAACGGTGATGAACGAGTGTTCTATGAGCAACGATGTATGATAAAGAAGATATGATAAAGAAGAAGAGAAACATTCAAAGGAATCGATAATTATCGGACAGTAATGTTCCAAATATAATGTTTATTATAACACTGTGTTACTCAACATAATGGGATACTCACATTTGGGACTGTGCTTCTTTTTGTATACTTAAACTAAAACTATTGCAAGTTGCAATTTTTTATTCATAATAGATACATATTTGTTATTACATGTTAATCGGTACATCAAATCATTAAGTAACGATTGTTTACGATGATTATTATGTACTTGATCGTTTCATAAATAGCAGAAGTTATGATTATTTTGCTTATATCATATGCACAAACATTAACTTTTTGTCAATACATCAATTATAGCGTATTTCAAAAAGTTGTACACACATAATATTACATTCTTATTACATTATCTCTTATATATATCTATTATATATTCTATACATTATCTCTTATCTATATATAATGCATATATATGTCAAAATGTTGCAAGCAAGAATTTTCTATTAAAGAAGCAAATACCCCAATGAAAAATATGTATAGCTTCGAACGTTTTGATATCCAGCTTTGCAAATATAAAATGTGCATCTTTGAAAACTATATATGAATGTGAGAAGCAAATGTATGAAAGAGAGATGAATTCGTAATTGTAATTGTAATTGTATAAAAAAAATTTATTAATTAAAATTAACAGTGTATATTAAATATATACAAAAAATTAAAAAAAATTAAATTATTTAGAAATATTTCTACTTGGCTTCATATATATTATTTACTTTAAACACACACACACAATGAACTAAATATCATTTTATTATAGGTTAACAAATATATATTAGTACTGTTGATGTATATTAATTTAATAGAAAATAATCTAATATTAATTTAAAGAAAATTAAGCAAAAAATTGCAGTCAAATAATTAATCTTTACTTAACAAAGAACTATCTAAAAAAATTTGCGAAATATGTTTATAAAAAAAATTGTAAAAATATAAAATGGATCTCTTTGGTGCATACAATCATGATTATAAGCGTGTTTCAAGTCACAGTCACAGAATACATTGTACATTGTTACATATTTAAAAAAAAAAGGTAAATTGTCAGAATCTTTTTTTTCATAGAAAGTGTATATAACATATAAACTGGCGAAGGCAAATTAAGTATCAAATATTGAGATTTTTAAAAATTTGGCGTTATCTTTTGATAAATGTAAATTGAAATAAAATTTATGCATGTGGAAACTTTCCAAAATACTCAAAACAATCGCAATTACTTCAAAATCACTATAGTTTATTTTCATAAATTGTCTAATTATTTAATTAATATGGTTTACTTCTTTTTGGTATTGGGACTTGTGGACTGAAATACGCTCGATGCTGACATTAAATTCTCAATGTACTGGCTCAGAACCTGATTCTCACTTCTTAGCTTGAGATTCTCTTCCTTTACACTGTCCACTCTTTGTGACAGATCTAGATAGAACATATACATTTGCACATTACAAAAATGCCAATAGGGATATTCTCCTGTAACCTTAATCTTTAGTGAAATATATATCTACCATCCAAAGTATTTTGCAATTCGAGAACCTGTGCAATCAATCTAGCTTTCTCTTCTTGTTCATCTGGGCTAATATCAGGATCTAAACCTATAATAAATATAAATCATTTTACAAAGTATTTCAATTTGACAGTATTACAATCATTTATAAAAGCAAATTTTTATTTAACTGTATATAATAATCTAATAATAGGAGTTGAAATATTGCATATTTAATGTTATTTTATTCAGTTTATAAATACAAAATAAATTAATATTCCTTTGTATATTTAGTTGTAAAGACAAACAATACAAAAACAAACTATAATGAAAGAACAAATCAATAATATCACTTACTGTTAGGACTACAGCTGCCGTTAGTAAATGTTGATGGTATAGAATCCATGCTGCGTCCTCTGCCTAACGGATCAGACATATGTGAAGCATTGTCTAAGATTTCCTCTTCTGGTATTATTACTATAAGAATATATGTAAAAAATAATATTAGAGTTAAAATATTAAACCCCAACAATCAGGATAAAAAAAAAGAAGCTCATTATTACCAAAATACAAGCAAATTGTTAAATGTATAAAATATTTAAGAAGTTCTAAGCAAAATAATTTGTGAGATAAATAATAAAAAGTTCTAATATTTCGTATTTCTATATCTCTACATTTCTATTATCTCGATTTCTGTATTAAATTCCGAGAAATGGAGTAGATGTTGTCACATTGCTATAGGTCACAGTTAGATGTAGCTAATTTAATTCCCACATTATAAATAAAAACCATATATGTAAATAAACAAAAATAAGAAGCAGACAGATTAAGTTAACAAATTTAGTCATAAATGAATAACATTGTTAAATAACATTCAGAACAAAGATTGGAAATAAATGATGTAGACTGCTCGAGATAAGCTGTTATAATTTCATTTGTCAATGAGAGAGAGAGAGAGAGAGAGAGAGAGAGAGAGAGAGAGAGAG